GTTATCGATTTAGTTGTCGGTATTTATCGATTTTGCTATAGATACTTATCGATTTTGTTATCGATTTCTTATCGATATTTTTATTGACTGTGTCATCGATATTTATCGATTTTGTTATCGATATTTATCGATTTTATTATCGATATTTATCGATTTTATTATCGATATTTATCGATTGTGTTACCGATATTTATAGATTTTGTTATCGGTAGTGGTAGGGATCTAAATAGAAAAAAGACCAAAAATATAACCTTAAGCAAAAGCAGATGCATGTACATTAGACTGCATCACTCCCCATACAAAAAAAAATCGGTACTATTTTTCCATTGGTATTATAAAATCTATTATACTTTAAGACGTCTACCAAAATATTTCGAAAAAATATTAAGATTTAAGTGAGCTGGACCAATTTCAAAATAGAGGTTTTTATGAATAAAAATAGTTTCTTAAAATTTTTTTTTTTTTAAATCCCCTCAAATGATAAAACGATTTAAGCTTAAAAAATTTGCATAAAAATATTTTTTAAAAATTAAAAAAAAAATTTAACGGAATCGTAATGAGATTTTTGATGCTGTTTTTTAACTTTTTTCAAAGATTGGTATAAGAAAAACTTGAATAACTGAGCCTAAATTATTCTGATTTAGACTTAAGAGGTGTCGGTGGAAAGGTATATTCTCACCCGTTTTTCTTTCTTTGCTAATAAACTCATTCAAAGGACGAAAGTAGGGCTGTGCGATTATTCGATTACTCGAGCAAGTTGGTTAATCAATTATTCGGTTAATCAATTACTCGAGTAATCAAGATTTTGATTACTCAAAACGATGATTAATCGAGTTACTTAAAATATGATTACTCAAAAAAAATAATTTTGCTCGTTAAAAGAGTTTGCTTTGGAAAATGCTTATTTTCTTTTTTACATTCTATATATGAAAAAAAAAAATTTCGTTTTAATTTTTGAAAACAGAAACGTTGTTTTCAAAGTATCAAGGAACTTCAACTACTTTATACATATGTAAAGAGTTGAAATGTTGATTACTCATTTTACTCGAAATGTTGATTAATCATAAAGCAAATTACTCAAATATTTTTGGTTTTGGTTAATCAAAAATCTTGATTACTCGAGTAACTGAACTTTTGAGTAATCATAACTTCTAATTAATCGAATAACTGAGTTATTTACTTTATGATTAATTAAAATTTTGAGTAATCAATTAATCGCACAGCCCTAGACGAAAGAGAAAGGTAGGATGAATGAACGTCATTCAAAGTTGAATTAAGATGTGTTGGTATTTGAAAAAAAGAAAATTGGGACACGAATGATTTTTTTTTTACAGAAATAGAAACAGTGTTAAAATACCTATCTACTGAGATCCCATATGTCTAAATCAGAATAGTTTTGCCCAGTTATTCAAGTTTTTCGTAAATCAATCTTTGAAAAAAGTAAAAAAAAACAGCATCAAAAATCTCATTCTTACGATTCCGTTGAAAATATTTTTAAATATTTGTATGTAGATTTTTTAAGCTTAATCTGTTTTGTCATCTAAGGGGAGTGTTTTCAAAAAGTTCTTTACGAAACTATTTTTATTCATAAAAAACTCCATTTTTGGAGGTGTTTTCAAATCGGTCCAGCTCACTTAAATCTTAATATTTTTCCCAAATATTGTGGTGAACGTCTTAAAATATAATAACTTTTGTAATCCCGGCGGAGAAAACGCAACTTTTATTGGTGATGCAGTCTAATGTACATACATATGAGTAGTCCACTTGCAAAGTGCGCTATGTAAATTTTTTAGATTTTTAGTTTTTGCAGGATTACGTACCAGTATTTATAGTAGTTTCATGTCCATTAACAACACAGTGCAAAATCTTTTTATATTCTGATAAAAAATAGCATCAAATGTTGCCTCTTCTTCCAAAAGTCGCTATCACACTTATTTATAAACTTTCAAAACTATACATCTTCTGATGATCGTAGACAACTGCTTTAGGTCGTATAGACTGTTAATGTCATGTTATGTTATGTTACAATTTTATAAGGCTTTTTATCCAAATTTTCAGGTAATAAAAAAAAAAGATTCTATTTAAATGTTACTTGTTGTCGTAGTCGTTTTTTCAAATTTATGGCTTTCTATTATAAAATCACATAACGCTGTTTGCAAGTGGACTACTCATATGTATATATGTATATTGGCTATGAGACAAAATAGATATGTACTTTTTGGAATGTCTATAAGTTGTTTAATGATTTTTGAAACGACCCAAAATGGTGTAACTGCCCCACTCATGGGGTAGATGCGCCATCGAGATGGGATGGAAACGTCAAGACAAAAAAACGGAACATAAGAAACTTTAATATTGTATTGATTTCAAATTTCTTAAGTCAACACTTTCTCTTATAAGGAGCATAATAATAATAATAAAGTAATGTTTTTTCTGCAAAAGGATTCCCTAGTTTATAAGACTATTCGGTGTACTTCCTCTATGGTACCTATGGCTTTTCCCGAACCCCAAACTAATGCTTAGGTATGGTATTGTTTTGCACTATCATGGGTTTCAATTTTTTCGCGAGTAGTTTTTTCCAAAATTTTTTGATAATACAGAGAGTAAACTGGTTGACCTGTATGAACCTACTATGGTCCGATCTTTACCTGGCTTATGTACATAATTATTTCAGATAGTTTCCAGTTGTTCGGGAAATATTTCCCGTTTGTATGAACTAAAGGTGGATAGGGTAGTATATCTTTAGCCTGTATCGTATATAAATTTTAGGCAGTTCTTTACCATTTCACCTGTGATCTTATCATAACCAGGAGCTTTATTAGTATGAATATCATTGGCTTTGGTATTTCTTAAATCGTTGAGCTTGAATCGACGGGAAATAGTGGTTGAGTTACTATTAGTAATTAAGATGTTTTAAGGAGTGGGGCTTTCATTGGGTTTATAAACGTCTGAAAGATGTTGAGCAAAATCTGTTACTTTATCTTCATCGCTCTTTGCCCAGTTTCCATTAGGAGTTCGGATAGGCGATTCTCGAAGCACCGGTTTCTTTTCATACTTCATGGTACGCCAGAGAGAAAAATTTGTCTGGCATGAAGCAGACAAGTTTTGAAGAACCGAGGGCGTGTGTCTTTTTTCTGCTTGAAACAAGCAACTTAATTCTTTCTTACATGGATTTAGTTCCTGTATAACACGAGGATAACGAAGTCTCTGCCACTCTCTTCGCAATTTGCGGTTTTTAAATATTAGGGTAAGAATGCTTGGAGTGTGTTCGTAAGGGCGGGTTGAAACACGATGTTTGAAAGAAGCATCCTGGGTTAAGTTTTCTGCAGCTTTTACTAGAACATCAGCTACACCAGGGGGACATCATCATCATAGGGCACATACATCAGCGGCGCATCTACCCCATGGGGCACATTTGCCGGCGAAACAACCCCACTTGGAGTCTGGTGGATCTGTCCCACGTCTAACCTCTTTTATGAAACTCGCTTTTTTTTTTTAAGAGCCGTAAACAATGCAACAAGCTATCGATTTCATTTAAAGCAACATCAGCGGTATTCCACAAATAAAAAACTATTTCATAACACGACAAATCACAAAATTATTACGAAATATATTTAGCCACAAAACTTTTCCCAGCAACGCAAAAAAGTGGATAAAAGCGACTATCTACAACCACTTGCAAAGATGAACTGTCAGAGTAAATAAGAAGAGATGTGGCCGACTGAAGCACGAGTTATCGATTTTCAAAGATCGATAGCAATAGTAACTTTGAAGAAAACGATGGGTGGCGAATGTGTCCCATTGACGCATGCTCACCCTTTACCCTACTCCTCGGGGGTAAAATCTGATCAGGGTTGATAACGAGAAGGAGCATGAATTTTGTTGATTCAGAGTTGTATACAAAATTTCTGTGGTATGAAAATGAGAAACAACCGTACTATGGCAGAGTGGAACAAGTCATGACTGTGTAATAGTGACCGAACAGAGCAGAAACTCTACGTTTTTCAAAAAAACTATAATCTTACAATGGATATTTTTTCAATTTTAAACTTACATTTAAGAAAACTCCATTCAGTGCTATAATTACGATTTGAGTTGGCCAGTTTATAGAAACACAAGCGTTAATTATGTACTTAACTATTGATATTATTCTTAATTAAGCATAAATATTATACTTAACCTACATTTTGAACAGAACTTTTTCTAATCATGTGGCGAAATTCCCCACAGTAAGTGTTGCCCAAAAGTACTCCTACTATATACTGTGATATGAGTGGTTGACTTCATGTGCATCTATAAACCATATGGGCTAATTGAGCTCGATATATAAACACTCGCAGCAAAGGTTATCCCAATCTCCTCTACTCTTCTAACTTGATCACAACTCTAAACCTGGTCTCCCGCTTTCCCTCACCTAACACAGATTGTTTTAACGGTAGCTAAAATTATACAAGAATAACGACGAAATACATACATACATATATGGAAAATACCTATAAACCATGTGCTATTATAATTGCATACCACAAAAAACTTTACACTTATTTAATAGACAGAAATTGAGGAAAAGCGTGATGCATATATAATTCGTTTACTAAGGTATGTATACTTTAAAGGTAAAAGCAGAAGTTTACGCGCTTTCCATTTAAAATTTACTGTCCTTGTTGTTGTAAACAAGCTTGAGTGACTTTTACTTGCTACCACCGTTTTCTAAAAATATTGTTGAAGTAATAATAATAAATCACCGCAGGAATCCGCTAAAACAATTTGAAGAATCCAAAAATGACTTCAACATCATTCCTCATACTTTCCCTGAACTTTAATTTTATTTCCCTTCTACTGACTCGAAATTTTTCATTTGTTTCACTGCTTGCTTTGCTATACAGTAGGGTTATTGATTTTAAAATTACTTTAACAATAGTACCTTCGCGCTATTTTCGGATCTAACAGATTTGCGTACGCATGTGTGTATTTCAGCTGTAAGGACTGTTTGTACTCACCCAAGAACGCCGCCGGCCAGGACTTCAGCCTGAGCTGAAAGGGTTTCTGCAATAGATTCATCGCTGTAAATGCCGACCGGCGTGTTATATTGTTTATTTACGATACTCTTGACGCTGCCATCGCCGCCGTTAACCTGAATGTAAATAGAAATAGGGAAACGTGGTTGAGAATTTAATGGAGCATTTCAAAATATGAGTGAAAAGAAAAAGCGAATCAATAAGAGTATAAAGTATGTGGGTGATATTTTAGGTTTTGTATGCATGACATGAATACTGGAGCACTTAGAAGACGAGACCGCTTAAGAAGACGAGAACACATTGAGTTTTAAATCAATTGGGCAACTTGTGCGCAAGGGAATATATTCCCAGTCGCAGGATCTTTTATGATTTAGGAATGGGAGAGTGAATATTTTGTATGCATATACATACATATGTATATACATATGCACATACATATGGGATGGGCGGTATCGGGAAGGTCTTTAAAAATTTTACGGGCGGGACGGGACACTCCCGCTAAAACCCACAACCGCCGCAACTTCAGAAAATCTTTTTTAAAACGTTGTACGAAATAAGCACTTTTTATGTTTTATTGAGACAAAAAACGAGCGGCAAAGCAAAAAAAACGACCTTTCATTATCTTTTTTATTGCTCAAAATTAAGAAATGTGAAAAAGCTTTCGGCAATTGCCGCATCCCTGGTAATATCACTTATGGTTTCTTTCTCATTCATCGTATTAAGATGAAAGAAATTGTAGAAACAAATATATTATTGGAATGAAAAGTACTACGCTAATCACATTCACGTAGACAATTGTTATTGTTTTGCTATTTAGTTTGATCAAACGCGTGTATACATAGCGTGGGAGTAACATTAATTGTGTTCGTTATCTGCCAGAAATAGTCAGATATAGACATAAGTAGTCAGATTTAGTCCGAAAAGCGTTCCTTAACTTGAAAATGAAAGCAGAAATGGGAGAGCAACTGTGACTCTCTTCTGTCAGAAGTTACACGATTTAGTCAGAAGAATTTTTGCTAGCAAAATCTGGAAAAGTGGTTGTGCACAAATAAACTAAAATTGAACATATCTAAAAACTAAACAAGGTTAATTGGAAATGGAAGAAGCGATTAAAATTAAATCAATTAAAAATTGTTTGTAGAAAAAAGCCCAGGTTCATTTAAAGTTTGGCTGTTATTCCTTCCTGGCATATCCTTTTGTATATAATTTTTTACTGAATATTACGTTGGTCATATGAAGTTTTTGCCTCAAAACGCCTTAGTAAAATTTGCCGAAGAATAATTTTTTAAAACACATCACTCCTCAAACTAAATTCCAAATTTGGGTTTTGAGGGGTTTCTTAGGTAGGGGTCACAACCAGCGTTGCCAGGTTGACGTTTTTAACGTGATTTGGACGTTATTTGTATCCTGTTGACGTTTGGACGTTTTTTGTGTAAAAAATTACGTTTTTTAACTTCCCAGTAATATTTCTCTGTTACTAAATCTTGTAAGTAGAACTGATTTTGAATTAGTTTCTTAATAAATCTTTACAAGCTTTGTTTTTTGTAGCAGCTGCTTCTTTGGACACAGGTGACTTAACTCTTATTTCAGCGCATAAAGAAAATGACACAATTAGTCGCATGGGGCCCCTTATTGAAAATTTAATGAACGTAAAAAGGCTGAAATATTGCTAAGTTCCTTCTAAACAGAACGTAATTTAGCATTTTCGACAACATACCACTTAACCAAATGTTTACAAGAAAAAAAAACATTAAAAATCAACGCGATTCTTTGGCATCTTAAAACTTGCACATTATTGAATCTGAATAAAAAGTTGAATCAGATTTCTTATAATTTTTGCACATAGTTTGAAATGTGGATTTATATTTTGTTTGTTATATAATGAGCTAGGCTTTTATGGAAAAATAATAAACATTAAATAAACAAAAAAGAAATAGCCAAAATCGATGACTTAATCAGCTGATCACAAGTGCATGAATAAAATGATTTTTATATTAACGATCTCAAACCAGTTTAGAATGAATTTTAAATGTGACAGAGCAAATGACGTTTTAATATCTATACCTTACGTACATATGTACCTTTGCATACAATAAAAGTTTAATAAGAACAATTCTTTGTGCATACATTTGAAAAAGACGTTTTTGGGTAGGAAATGATCTTTTCAGATAAAGAGGGACGTTTTCTCATGCCGAAGATGTGGCAACACTGGTCACAACAACTCTTTCGGGCGGGAACTAATGGGTTAGAATGCTCTACGAAAATATTTCCCACGCAATTTTACTACATACGTGTTTACTATACGTGTTAACCTTTAATTTCGCTCAGATATTTATTTTAACCATTTTTTCCGCCTTTATGAAAATTACTTAGGCCGGGATATGAAAACTTTAGCACGCCTTAAAATTAAGATACGAGATAACTTTTGCAAATCCATCGAGCGTTTTATTACTGGCTAGGTATACTCTCAGATAATGTTAACAAAGTATGGACTGGTGTCGGCTGTAGTACTGTGTAATAAACCCAAATATACCTCAGTCATAGGCAGCTTAAAATCCATTTTAACATAAAAACCTAGTTTTAATTTAAAAATTAGGTGAACGTGATTTTAAAATGTTTGAATAAGTTTCTAAGTTGATGTTTTGCTTCTTACGTTATGGGGAATTCAAAATATTTGACACTAGAATTGACAAAAATTAATGCAAGTGAAAAACTATGATTAATAGGAAGAGCATATTACGAGATTTTGCGATTTTGGATGATATAATACGACAAGAAAAACGAAAACAAATAGGAAACGCTGCAATCTTTTGAAATGGAGGGCAAGGAGTTTTATTCCCGTTATCGCTTCGACAAAGCAACAGTAGAATATTATCAAAACTTTGCGCGTCTCAAACGTAGCAATATTTTTGTTTTTGTTATTTTACATAACTTAAAACTGTGTTTGAACCAGAAGGAGCTAACGACTATGACTATGAGAAGCTCTTTTTGCTGCTGTCACTAATGCCACATGTAAACATAAGTGAAAGTCAGGCGTTTAGTGTACGAACCATTAAAAGAAATACAGTTTTTCGCATTTTTTTTACTTTAATACCGCACTTTTTTCCTCCGTCAAAGGTGAAAAAATGTTTTTTCTTGTTTAAATTTAAGTATAAAATACTCAACAATTCTACATTTTGATAAAGCTACACCTAATTCCCTATTATATGAGTTATTACTAAATACGAAAAAAATTCCAGCTTACTTTTATATGGACAAAATCTGAGTTATTTCTTCTGTTACGGGTGGGACAAAAAAAAAGAACCTACTTTTGGGCGCAGATGTATTTTACGGAAAGTCTGCGAATTTATTTCACTTTTCTGTGTGAACTTGATGTCCTATAATAAAACAAAGAACCACCAATCCAAACAAAGCAAAAACTACAAACAAATGATTGCTTTATTATAAAAAAAAAATACGAAATTCCTCTATCACGGGTAGGACAACATTTGTCACAGGTGGTACACGTACGAATTTTTATGTGAAAAGGAGCTTTTAGTGTAGGGTATATTAAAGATTAGTTATTAAAAAATATACGAAGCCCGGTAGAGGTTCAAGTCGCTCACGTTTTATCTTAGGATAAGTGCCTTTTATATAAAAGAAAATACCTAGCGCCGCACAGTGTTTCGACTATATGGAGGCAGGTAGAAAAAAGTCATGGTGACAGTTGATAAAAAAAAAACCGGTTGGACTTAGAGAGGGAAAAGTAAAAGTCATAAATACCAAACTTTGCATGATTAACCCCCCCCCTTCTTCACGAACGATACATTTCCAAAAAAATGCGGTAATGGGCGCGATACCGACTAATCAGTTTAGTTGCCTTTGGCGATTAACCCATTAAAGAAAGTGTTTCTTTTTCAACTGTAATCAATTGTTTAAATGTCGTGGAATATTCAGGTGAATATATTTATAATTTATTTGGTACTTTGCTATTTTCTTACCAAACAGTTTACTTTGAAATGTAGATGCTAAAGATTATTAGTAAAGAAAGTGTGAGTACCGGTCCGCCAGGTCTTGAGATTAGACGAATATTTTAGAGAATTTTATGTAGTTTTCGAATATATAATTTGATCTTTACGCGCGACTTTGCAAGTATATGTAATTTTTAGTTTTCTTAATTTTTGATTTTCAGCTTCTTTTTGCATAATTTCGCGAAAAGAATTTTTGAACAATGAAAAAATCTCACCAGATATTGGGAAAAAGCGAGTATTTACACCTAAGTCATTTTATAGTATAACTTTTGTTTTCTGAGAGTGGAAAGCAGGAAACAAAAATTACCCAAAATTCCATCACATATTTTTTGTGTGTTTTGGACGTTATAGTGATCCAATCTTCCCCATATTTTATATTTAGGTTTTCCTAATAAAATAAAGACTACAAACTAAATTTCATCGAAATCGGATGAGATTTAATGTTTTCGCCCACAAGAGTAGAGGGCGCTTGAAATTTTTACTTTTACCTACTTAAATTTAATGAGCTATAAAACTGCGTACCTAGAATTTTTCTAAAAATCCTGAACAAAAAGTTTAACATTTTTGGTGGTTTGTTGATTGTTAGTTGTTGGCTTTTGGGTGTGTGTTTGTTGAATTTTTAACATTTTTTGTACGAAGTTAGAAATATGGATTTATGTGGTTCTGATTCTGTAATGTGCTACACTTTTATAAACAAAAGAACTATAAGCATTAAATTAACAAAAGAAACAACCAAAACTGCTCAAAATGTCACTAAATTTAATCAGCTGACCACAAGGGTATATAGGTAATGGGCAAGTCCGCTCTTCCCCTCCTCCCCTGCGACCACCTCAACAAGCAAATAAAGCTTATCAGCTCTGTAAACTCACCTCTGACAACTGTCCTACCATGTTTCACTCTTGAATTATTCTTATCTAACTATAGCCCTGTTCGCGTACGCACTATCCAGTAAATCCAGTACTAATTTGACTGGTTTTTTACTGGATGTCGTTTTCGTACGCAAAAACTTGCAAGAAACTAGCAAACGAGGGGAAATTGAGAGAGCAAAAATGACAGCTGAACTTGCAAGTTTTACTGGATTTTTACTGGATAAATTTTTACTAGCAACTATTTGCTATTTGCTAAGAAAAACAGCTGATGGCATGATGCTTATTGTAAATCACATTAAGAAAATAATTGTTTGTGGTGCTTTTAGAGTTGCAATTGAAAAAATAAACCTATTTAAATATATAATTGCGCACGCAAGTTTTTCACTTTGATAAACCAAAATCAATTTACGTGCGTGATTTCTCAGAGTTGCATTTCTATCAAATTTACTGAAGTTTGTTGAGCAAAATTTGAATCCATAGTCGTGCCAAAATGTCAATTGATCATAAACGTCAAGTGGAAATGTAACGCAAGACAAATCTTGGAATTTGAGTTAGCCTTTTATGCACGCCGTTCAATTTCGGTTAGTCCCATACAAGTTCTATGTATGTGCATGAGAAATTTTCGACAGTAAATTGCCGGCATGCGTGAATGTTATGTTGACCTGTTACCAAAATAATGTATAGGCTATTTCTTATTGAATAAAATTAAAATAAAATGCATTAAAATGAACCAATTACACGTATCGTTGACTGTCAATCATATCAATCGCAAATCGCAATTTAATCGGTTTAGCTTCCTACATAAAGGAGATACATATATCTCAAAAACTGGTATCTGAACAATCAGTGGTATAAGAGATAAAGCATATACAGCATAGATTTTGACGATTTTCTCAGTAGCCCTTGTATTATTATTTATAAAATAGCTTACGAAATTTATCGATTTTAGCTGCCCAAATTAAGGAGTTTTAACTGTAAATCCCATATCTGAACAATCAGCTGTATGGAGGTAATAAATAGCTTATAGCGACCCGATTTTTTTTAAATTTAACTGTAAACTTTCTGTTGATAATGAGTGAAAAAAGTGCGGAATTTAATGTTTCTAGCTGCATAAATGGAGAAGTTATAACGAAAATTCTCATATCTGAACAATCAGTTGTATGGAGGCTATAGGTTATAGCGACCAAATCTTCACCATTTTCACTGTAAGTATTCTTTTGAAAATGGGTGGAAACAGCGCGAAATTTCATGTTCCCAGCGCATAAATGGAGGAGTTATAACAAAAATTATCATATCTGAGCAATCAGTTGTATGGGGACTACAGGTAAGAGTGACCCGATCTTTGTTATTTTCACTGTAAGTATTCTGTTAATAATGAGTGAAAATGGTGCGAAATGTTCCTAGCTGCATAAATGGAGAAGTTATGGCAAAAAATCGCATCTGAACAATCAGTTGTATGGAGGCTATAGGTTATAGCGACCCGATCCTCGCCATTTTGACTGAAAGTATTCTTTTGATAATGAGTGACAACAGTGCAAAATGGAGGAGTTATAACGAAAAATCTTATATCTGAACAATCAGTTGTATGGGAGCTATAGGTTATAGTGGTCCGATTCTTCCGGTTCCGACAAATGATTAATACATTATAAAAATACACTTACCTACCAATTTTCATCGGGATATCTCGAAAACTGAGAGACTAGATTGCATACAAACAGACAGACAGACGGATATGGCTAAATCGATTCAGCCCGACGTTCTGATCATTTAAGTATACATTTTAATGGGTCTATCTCTTCTTATTCTGGTACTTACAAACACCGGACCAAAGTTATAATACCATTTCATGCTCATGAAAGGTATAAAAGTAAGTTAGAATATAATAAGCTAACCCGACGGCACACAGTGTGCTTTTTTAACACTTCATGCCAATTAATCGTAGCGCTTTCGACAAAAGCAATATTTTAATATGCAGCAAAATGGCTTTGAAAGCTAATGTAATTGCCTTTCAAGGAAATATATTGCCATTGAGCCACAGTCACTCCTTGACTTTAAAAAAATTTGTCAAAAATAGTGTTCTTCGTAAAAAAAACATGCAAAATCCAACGGATATATTAAAAAAAAAATGTTTTTTATATCTTATTATACTAATATTATAGATTTTGAGATGAGAAACACGATTCCGCTGTTTAAAAAACGAAAAAAAAATTTAACTCCTCAGTGAAAAATGCATTATATATTGCACTTTTTATGATTTGCATCCTTCACACAATTTTATATCTCTCGAATAACAAGGCAGTTTTAGTGCAATTCAAGACCTTTAATTTAAGCCATGATAGAAGTCTCTAAGCCCTTTGAGAGCTAAATTATTACGATTCTGAAGTTAAACTTCGAAATTTAATTCGAAATTTTACGCAATTTTTTTCAAATTTCGGAGTAGAAAATAGTACAGCAGTTTCGAAGTTTGGTTTAAAATTGTTATAACTTGGTTATTAGAAGGCCTAGAGGGCCTTGGCTCAAATTAAAGGTCTTGAATTACATTTATTGTTCGAGGGATATAAAATTGAGTGAAGTATGCACAGCTGCGTGCCAATAGAAAAATGCAATAAATAATGCATTTTTTAAATTAAGGTGTTCAAATGTTTTTTGGAATTTTGAACAGTGGAATCGTGTTGCTCGTCTCAGAATCTATAATACTAGTATAAAATAAAAATACATAAATTTTTTTGTTTTGGAATGAATCCAGTGGATTTTGCATGTTCTTTTCGAAGAACACTACTTTTAACCAATTTTTTTAAGGTCAAGGGGTATTTGTGGCTCAATGGCCACAATTGAAAGGGATTTGCTTTAGCTTTCAAAACTATTTTGTGTCGTATCAAAATGCTGCTTTTATCGAAAGCGCTACGATTAATTCGCATGCAGTGTTCAAAAAGCACACTGTGCGGTTTGTGAAAGGACAAGAGATGTATTTTGTAATGCTGAACATATTTTTCAGATATGAGTTCAGCGACAAAATCTATTAGAAATAGCCAACTTCATATTAGAAAAAATTTCAATTTGCACGAAATTATTCCGGAAGCAGAATCACAATACCAAGAGTTTAATTGAAATTCTTAACCAAACTCGGATTTCTCGACCGAAATTTCCCCGCATTTGTTGCAAAATTTGCCACCTTGCGACACAGCAGATTACTTTGGTATAGAAACTCTCCTGCGACAAACTCATTGCAAACTCAAAGTCGCGAAACATATGATGTTTTAATGCCATCAAGGTACTTGAAGAAAAATTATATTAGTTAAGACTGCTTCGAAATATAATTATAAAAACTTTTCTTTTTTAATAAATTTTACATTTGTAATCCGGAGTTGCGATTCGTTCATACAACTTTGTTTGCAACGTTGCCATTTCGCCGAAAATGCCACTTTGCGACGTTTTATGAATCGCACTATTATATTTCTATGATATGGCATTAGCAGTGTGGGGATATACTTCACGATCCCGCAAATCCCTTATAGTGTAAGTCCCCAAGGGATGCCGTAATTAGTGATGTGCTGAATTATCGGTACCCAATACTCGGTACCCAATACGTAAAAAAGATTTCTGTACCCAATACTTCCTTTTCGGTACCCGATACCGATTCTTTACATTAAACCTTCGCCATTATATGCATTTCAAGTTTAGAAAAAACTTTCATTACTAATGTACAAGATATCGGCTAAAACACTTGAACTTATCGCAACAGAGAAATATTATTTTATCAATTTATTTTATTAGTTTTAACTTTAGTCGATCCAAGATTAAAGAAAGATAATTTGACGGATGAAGAAGCCTTTCAGCGGGGAGATTCTGTAACCAGTTAGCGACAAGTTTCGGATCGATATCGCACTTGTTGACGAAAAAATATTTCATATCATACGTCAACTAAACCGATACCGATACGAAAATTGTCGCTAACTGGTTACAGAATCTGCCCCCAGACCTACAAAAATGATATTGTCCGATTCAGCTGGGACAAAAATGCTTCAAACAAGTAAGAGTTTCTCTGCATTATGGCCTCGAACCGACATATATTTATATTAGGGTGGGTCAATTAAAAAGTTGATTCATATCCTTGCGATTCTGGTACTATGGACCATAACAAACATTTTCGCCCAAGGAACCATACCTCTAAAATCATTTTCGAGCCTGCCAAAATTTTTTGGTAGATATTTTCAAAAATACCAAATAAACGACCTCTTAGATGCATTTCAAAGACAAAAAATATTATTGAAAATGTGTATACGGGGGTTTTTTGGGTCAGAGAATCCATTTTTCGCATTAATTTTTAATTTTGATCGCCACCAGAGTGCGTTTTTGAACAATTTTTTGGATTTTTCACTGTTTTTGGGGGAAATTGACGAACTTATTGCTCAAATAGTCACATCTTTGACTTTCGAATAATTTAAAATAATGGAAAAATATTTATTTCTTTATTTTGCTATATTTTTTTATTTTTTTTATTTTTTTTTTATTTTTTTGCGATCAAAATTAAAAATTAATGCGAAAAATGGATTCTCTGACCCAAAAAACCCCCGTATACACATTTTCAATAATATTTTTTTGTCTTTGAAATGCATCTAAGAGGTCGTTTATTTGGTATTTTTGAAAATATCTACCAACAAATTTTGGCAGGCTCGAAAATGATTTTAGAGGTATGGTTCCTTGGGCGAAAATGTTTGTTATGGTCCATAGTACCAGAATCGCAAGGATATGAATCAACTTTTTTAATTGACCTACTAATTGACCCACCCTAATATATATGTACACCTTTCATTTGAATCAGTATTAAAAGCTCTATTGGCTCCTACATTCGGGTTTTGGCCTATGTGCGTTTTTATTTGAAACCGAGTATCGAGAGTATTCGATACTTTTTAAATCGGTACCAAATATCGATCAATACTTAAAAGCTTTGATTCAGCACATTACTAGCCGTAATACATATCAACATTTTAACACTTGCAAGGAACACATTTATACAATTTTGCATACTTACAAATGCATGAAAAATAATCCTTTGTCATAAATGTCAGAATGAAAGTAGCCGTATTAGTGTCGACATGAGTAAATTATGAAATATTTGTGTTTGCACAAACAACATTTCCGAACTTACGAATGGACGGGCAGCGTTATTGTATCCACAGCCAATGTGTTGTCCTTCCTGTTGTTTATGAGCTAGAGAAGTTTTCGTCACTGTTTGCAAATACGGGGAGTTCTGCTGTGGCTGAGGTAGATTGCCAGTTGGCGTTACGTGTGGACGCCAAGTCGAGCCTCCCCTGCATGGGAAATTTTCTCTATGTAAATATCATTTCGCAGTACATACTTATTGCAATATGTTCTTACCTTTGGACAGTCAAAACGAAGTTGTTTCCAGAGCGTACAACGACATCCTGGGCGTCTTTGTGGCGCAAATTAAATACATCAACATCATTAATTTGAAGTACAGCATCTCCTGGGATGAGACCAGCCTTCTCTGCCAAGCTGCCGCCGTTAACCTACAACCGAGAAAGTCCGAAAATTTAGTATAGGTAAGTACTAGGAGTGTTAATTCCGGCATCCCGGGTCCCGAAAATCGCGGGATTTGTAATTTGTACGGATGGCAATTATAGAAATTCCTCTTCTTGGCCTGTATTGGCTATATTTCATTTTTTGTTTAATAATTAATATTTTTTTATAAATGTTTAGCTCATTATACAAAAAACACCGTGTGATAGTAAATTTGACACACACAAATCTATATATTCGCAAAACCATGGGCCAAATATAATAAAATTGCGCTTCTAGGTTTTCACACTGAAATGATTTAAAAAATTCAGTGAAATGTGCTTAGAGAAGTATAGTTATCAAGTTAAAGAGGAAATTCTGTAGAATTTAAACAGATTCAATTTATTGGTGCATAAGGACTGGTAAGTACTGAAAATGTCTTTTTAAAATGTTATCCTTGAAGTTGCGCAATATTTGTTTTTGCAAAAATTATAGGTTAAGCACTTATATAAACTCGATAACAACCTCGAATTTCGTCCTTCTAACTTTATCAGCTTAAAAAATTACCTGTTTGTCCTTATGAATCCAATAAGTTTAAATTTTTTTTCATGCGAGTCAACATTTTATCCTTCTGCATTCTTAGCTTGCACCCGTTCAAGCAAAGAGTTTTAGTTTTATTCCCGTTCACAATGTAAAAGAGTTTGCTTTTCTTCGATTTTTCTCTCTTGCGTTCTCATTCGGGGAAAATCCCGTTGCGAATGAGGCGATTTTACCATACACTACGTAAGCGGTTTGTTCAAACGTCAACATGGCAGCCAGGAATTCAAAAAGTCGGCTAGTCAAACCTTCAAACACCCCCATATACAACATACATATGTAAATAGCTTTAGGCAAAGGGATATTTCGCCTTCGATAATTTTTATTCCATCCTTATATTTTCAACTTATTTTGAACTTGCAAAATCTCGATAACGAATGGAAAGAACACGCATTGTTCGATCATAAGGATATTCATATTGATTATTCATTAGATCCAGAAAATTATAGGAAAAAAGTTTTTGAATCAAAGATTCTTAAGGTTCAAATAACTTCCCAATTTGAAAAAAAATCATATCTGCATTACTAATATAGCCCTTTTCTCATGCTTCAGTAGAATGTATATTAAGTAGATTAGGGCCGTTTTCTGAAGTAACCTTTAAGTTTAAAGCTCACTTTATATTTAAATGTTGGATTAAAAGTTAAGTCTAAAGTTAAGCATTTCTATTATCGGTTTATGACATAAGATGTATGTTTCTTGGTGGTAAGCCAATTTAAAACGGATAGTAAAATGCCTTACTTTAGACACAATGATAAAATTTAATGCAACCTTTAAATATAAAGTGAGCTTTAAAATTACAGGTTACTTGAGAAAACGGCCCTAACAAGTAATTTTTAAGCAAAAAACAAAACCGACTTCGATTCTCATATAAAAATTTAAGATTATCGTTAATTTCTTCATTATCCGATTATCGGATTTAAACCAAATTATTACGGGGCCACCTGTGCGGTAGCACCTTTCCTTTAAAAAAAGAATTATAGAAATCGGATAACGTGATCCAAAGCAGGGTTCGGAAGGAATTTTTAATATTTTTAATAATACGAAAAATATTGGATCAGAGCTAATATTATATACAACCCAAGGCATAAAATATAACGGTGATACTTCGTTTGAGCAGCAAGAACAAATGTACCAAATGAATTGGAGAATGTAATTAATTTTTATACTAAGACCTGTAAATAGTATGTAGTACACAATACTCATATCTGTAATAAGAAAATTTTGAGTAATTTTTTCGGATTTGGTAATTTTTTATGGCAACACTGATTGCTACAACACTAAAAAGGAAAACATGTTTTTTAACTTTGCTGAAACTGTTTATTTACATAAATATAATCGCCGTCCGCCGCGATTTTCGCAATACCAGCCATCGTACAGTTCCATAAGTAATTCATGATGCAATAATACAAGGTGGTATCAGTTGTGACAGCTCGATTTGACACTGACTTAGCTCATTAGAATGAGAAGAAAAAATTGGTTGAAATAAATCCCCATATGGGGGAAAATATAAAGTTCCACATTTTCTCCTAAACAAAATTTGCTTTTTTATAGAATATTCATAATAAAATGAAATAAAATAAGATAAAATACCTTTTTAAGAAAACAAAATGTGTATACTGAGAAAAAATAAAAAAACATTCAACTATATTATTAGGCAAAGAATTGTTAAAGAAGTAACACTGTTTCACATAAGGCAGTCAATATGGCGGAATTAGAGCGAGAAGTTGCCAACCGATAGCACCTTGTATTATTGCATCATCAAGTAATGTAACTCTTCTTGCTGCCGTTTTCTCTGGCAGGCTGTAGGTACGGTTCCGTTTTGGTCCAAATGGACCAAATTTGGTTCATTTCTTTTCGTTTGGTCCATTGGTCCAATTCTTTTTAAAATGGTCCATTTCACAAGCCTTTGGTTAGGTTATTGTCATCCTTTCACTTCATGCAATAGTTTCGCGTTTTCAATTTTTTGTATCCCTATGTTGAATATTTGTACAGTTTATTTTCGTACCCTGAACATGAGACGTGATACGGTCGATTACATTCACAAACATGGAGACTTCAAAATGCGATATCTCTGTGAAAAATTAAGATATTTAAGCAAACTCAACGGCATTTAAAAGAGGAAGACTTATACTTTAAAATATCATGTTTACTTTTTTATGAAGAGCAAAATCTGCGTAGCTACATAACCTCAAAAATGGGCAAAAACAGCGTTTTTGCACTTTTAGGCATTTAAAAGAGGAAGACTTATACTTTAAAATATCACGTCTACTTTTTTATGAAGAGCAAAATCTTCGTAGCTACATAACCTCAAAAATGGGCAAAAACAGCGTTTTTTGCACTTTTAGGTTAGGATATCTCAAAGTCCTGACGTGATAGAGCAATTTAAACCCCGGATTCGGATTCTACGCAAAAAATTACTTCGGAAATGACACTACACTTTTATAGAACATTCCGAACCCATTTTTTTGCAGACCTGTGTAATATACAACTGTTATGAATTTTGGACGCAAAATAAAAAAAAAATCGTTATAAAACCTGAATTAGCATATTTTCTTGATAAAGAGGAATAAACACCACTCAATTTCCCGATGTAATAAAAATTGGTCCATTTTTTACCATTTGGTCCATTTTTTAGTCCGCAAAATAAATTGGAAATGGCAACGGTGGCTGTAGGTATGCTTTTGTTAGTGTATTGATGTTTTTGGTTCAGTGTGTTAGTGTATTTTGAATAAATTGTAATAGAAATGAAAGAAATTGTAAAAGATATGAGCACATGCCAAAAAACAGGTGATCTCAGCTGTAGGCATTTTTTGGCAATCAGCTGATAGTCTTTTAGTGAAATACGATGTACGATGATACCCGTTTTGAGCGATTATTAAAAATTCGTTTTGGTTTAACCTTTACCCTTTTTAACGCCACTTTCTCATTTGTACTCTTTGCTCGATAGGGTGTAGTTTTCGTACCGATGACAATACCATAATGTAATTTTAACAATTAAAGCACACACTGATTTAAGAATATATCACTCATTATCTTCACTACATAAATACACGAAAACCAAAAGACACATGATTTTTTATGGACTGATTAAAGCTTTTAGTTTCAAATTGCTGCCTTCATAATTGTGGGTTAGCCAATGAGCCATTACCAATAAGTAAAAACAGTCAATATTCAAAGACCTTTTTTGTGGTCCTAATATTTTACACGTCACTGCATTTATATTAGTATGGAAATGCGTTCAGCACAGTGTTGCCGTTTACTAATTTTCGAGCGAAGTGAAAGCACACTAAAAGTGAAGTGTTTCGGAGTGACTTGGGAGGAAAAGTGAAGTGATTATCGAAGTGACGACTTTTGAGCTCTATTAGGGGTGTGGGTTTTTCGATTATGTTATTTATCACTTGTTTGGTTAATCGATTATTTTTGTATCACAATAAAAGTAATATTTAACCTTTATTAATTTATAATTATTTGTGTTCCTGTGCAAATTTGGTCCTGGAATATATTTAAAATCACAATTCCTCAAACGTTGAGGAAAGAAAATCAAAAATTACAGTTCACTGATGATATTAAGACTTAAATATAATTAAACGGTCATCGATTCACAGCAACAAAGTCATCACTAGATACACAGCAACAACATCATCACGAGATTCACTTAAATGTTTAATTTTTGCTGTAAAATTGAAGATGTATGAAAACTAATATATAATTGCTATTTTCGTTTTTTGTTATTTTTTGGCCTTTTTAACAATTATATTCAACAATTT